AAGATGCATATGAAGAAGTGGGCTGTAGTCCACGAAAGCTTATGCTCTAATAAATTTGTTAGTCTCTAAGGTGCCACAAGTACTCCTGTTCTTTTTGCGGATACAGACTAACACGGCTGCTACTCTGAAACTTAGTATAATCTGTGATTTTCCTTAATGCAGTGGTTCTCAACCAGAGGTCCGAGGCCCCCTGGAGGGCTGCATGCAGGTTTCAGGGAGGCCACCAGGCAGGGCCAGCATTAGACTCGCTGGAGCCCAGGACAGAAGGCCAGAGCCCTGCTCTGTGGAGTTGAAGCCTGAGCCCTGCCACCCGGGCTGAAGCCTGAGCATTATAGCTTCGTGGCGGCCCCTGTGGCATGGGGCTCCAGGCAATTACCCTCCAGGCAAAATACCCCCTAATGCCAGCTCTGGTTTTTATATGCAGAAAATCAGTTATTGTGGCACAAGTGGGGGGAGGGGGGGGGGCTCAGAAAGAAAAAGGTTGAGAACCCCTGCTTTAATGGACATCTTACTCCTTCAAGATCACACTGAAGATGGTAAATAAATAAATAAACTGGATACATTGGCATTTAACATTAATCCCCTCTACACACACATTTTTTTATTTCCCCCAGAAGTTTTACTTCCAATTAACGATTTATATCTAAACCAATTTGAAATAATTTTTCAAGATAGAGTTCCTGGGGTTTAGTATCAAATCATTTGCATCTACTGAATTTCCTTAATTTGGGCAACTTGTCTGGCAAGATTTGTTCTGTAGGAACCAATGCCATGTATTGCTTATGGTTATCATCCTCTAGTCCTACTTTTCTCAATATTTGTTTAATTATTATATTGGGGATAGACTTATGGGATAATAAACTGCCAGGATCATTTCAATTTTCTTTTTTGAAATTCTGTACTGCATTTTTTTCCAGTGCCTCTCTGGTTGTCTGATTTTTCAGAAATATTTGTCATTGGTACAGTAAGTACCAATTTGCTTAATACCCTAAGATGCACATCCTCTGAGACAAGTGATTTAGCGTGTGTTCAGATCTTCCAAGTACACCTTTATCTGTTCTTTGTTAAATGTCTTTTATATGGGGTTTTCCCAACTTAACTGTTTAGACATCTTTTAAAAATCTGCCCTCTGCATGAAAAATGTAAAAGTTAAATTTCTTATTTTATCTCCCTCCTGATATTATTTTTTTTCTCTCCTGATATTTGTTGAAAGCCTTATTCCTCTTAATGATTTTTTATACATTTTAACCAATGTAAAATCTTGGTTTACAAACAAAGTATTACTGATTAATAAATGACATTTAAACTAACAAATAAATAGATCTCACTACTGTAAAGAGGCACTCTCAATTTAATTGTAGCCCAAAGTGCATACGTTATAAATAGACTTAATAAAAGTTAAGGTGTATATAAATCTTTCAACCATTTTAAAAAAGAATTCTGATGGAGAGTGGGAAGATTAAAGCATCCCTTCAGTGGTAGGGTAGTTGGCATCCATGTGTTACAGTATTAAGAACTTTATGCTCAAAACATTTAATTGTTAAAACTGACCAAATTTAATTTTTTTCAAGGTGAGAAAAATGCAAACAGTGAACAATATAAATAAGTATTTTTTTAATTCTCAAATGTTAGTATCTAAAGTGTTAGTAAAATAATGAAGTTTGATTGCAACTGAGACACTGCAAACTTGAAGTATGGTCAGTATGTATCTTTTTTTTTAATTACTTTCAGGTACTAAACCTGTTCCTGAACTTTCCCTGCTGATTGGTATAGTTCTTGAAGCCAGATCTTCCTGTTTGCTTGCTTGCTTTTTCGTTTGTTTAGTTGTTGTTTTTTAAATGTGGTCTCATAACTATGTGAAAAATCTGAAAACAAAGGGGAGAATATGACTCAGCTATGTTGGCGAAATGGTGAAAATATACACAAGGTGTTAGCAAATGCATTTTTGTCTTCTACTCTTCAAATTTGTAATAGTTTAAAAAAAATCAGAAGTGATATTTTTTAAGTTGGTGGTGCCCCTTTAACATATTTAAAAGAGCGGGGGAGTAGAAGTCAGAATATCTGGATACCATTCGCAGCACTGCACTATCTTGTTCTGGTTTGAGCAAGTGAATCATAAACATCTCTGTGGGTCAGTTTCCTCATTGGTAAAAATTGTGTAATGCTAACCTTTAAGGGGTTGTTGCGAGGCTCAGAAAGTGCTTTGAGGTCCTCACCTCAAAAGCTATAATATCTTACATGTATAAATAGGCTTAATTTCTCTTATGTTGCTTCTGGTTGATATGCATGTGAGCCAGAGAGAAAACAAAGAGTAGATTTGCTACCTAAGGGCACTCAAGGGGGAGCAGCAGCCTAAATGATATTTATACAATGTCGGATGTAAATATGACTATACTTTAAAAATAAAAAGGGGTGAGGGGAAGGTACTACTATTGAAATTACTGGCATACCTGGCCTGGAGCTTGAAGTTCTTTGTTTAACCTCAGAACAGGTATGGGCAGGACCAGTGCACACTTCCCCCATTCTGCCCTTTCCCTCAACTTTGACGTGGAGAGAGTCCCTGTACCAGGGAGAGGGATCCCTTGCTTTCTAGCCCTATTTACTTCTCGGCCTTTGCAATGCAGCTTCCCACTGGGGAGTGGGTAGGGGATGAGTGGACAGTATCAATTGCAGGAAGGCCCCAGAACCACCGTTGAATGTGAATGGGTAAGTTACTATAAAACAGGGGCGGCGGAGCCTGGAGGAGCGAAAGGGGGTGTCCGGCAAGGGGGGAGGCTGTTCACTAGAGGGCAAGGGTGTGGAGGCAGGACCGCTCCCAGCAGCTCCTGTGCTCAAGCTCCTCCTTGTCTGCAATGCTCCGGTCTTCTCGCTAGGGGCCGCTGCGTTCAGGTGGTTCCTCCTTGCGCAGGCCGCGCCCCCGTCGTTGTCCCTGCCCGGCCTGAAACCGGTAGTGGGTGGTCTTGCAAGATGGCGGCGCCCAGGCGGCTCCTGCTGGCGCTGGTGAGTGGCGCTTCCGGGCCGCGGCGCTACCGCCGGGCGGGGCTGGTGGAAGCGGGCGGCGCCACGCGGAGCCTGTGCGCGGGCGGCCCCCTGAGAGAGGCCGAGCGCGGGGCGGAACAGGAGCCGGGAGCGGACGGAGCGGGAGAAGCCGGCGCAATGGTGAAGGGTGAGCTCCCGCCGCGTGGGCCGGCGGATCTTCCCCTGAGGCGGGGGTGGGAGGGCGACAAAGGCAGCGGCCCCGCTTCCGCCGGTGGGGGGGGGGGGGGCAGCAGATTCTGCCCCCCAGGGAACTGGGGGGGGGGGAGCAGCGAGACCCCCTCTCCCCGGCAGAGAATCGTAGACTCTCAGGGTTGGAAGGGACCTCAGGAGGTCATCTAGTCCCACCCCCTGCTCAAAGCAGGGCCAACCCCAGCTAGATTATCCCAGCCGGGGCTTTGTCAAGCCGGGGGCCGTGTGCGAGTGCAGCACATCCCTCCTCCCTGAGCTCGCCGGCCGGCCGGCTTCTTTCTAACTTGAGGGCGGGTAGGCCCAGGCGCCGGGCCCCGCACTGGCGAGGGAGTTCAGACCTCTGCCGGGAAGGGATGGGGTGGACGGGACAGGGCGCCCTCTGCGATCCGTGGGTCTCGGGGCCCGCTGGCTGGCAAACAAGCGCAGGGGGGGAGCTGGTGCTTGGTGTGATCACTGCAGAGAGACTCGTGGGGCCTGGAGTGACCCTGCAGGGCAGGGATTCCTGACTGGAATCTGGAGCAAGGGAGACGAACGGGGGAGTGGGCCCTCCTGCCCTGGCCTGTCCCTCGCCTACTGCTGCTTCCGCAGGTAAAGTGGCGGATGGCGGTGCTTTCTAGGGCCCCATCTCTTTTCCCATTGTGACCACCAACACGGGTGTGAAACTGCAGGTGCTGATCAACGACGAGTCCTGGGCCTGGCTACTTGGATAACTGTGGAGCACTTGGGGGGGTGGTGGTGGTGGTTCCTGAAGCCTGTCTTTAATAAAGATTGGGATGGTTCTGGGCTTCCTGAATGTGAATCTCTCAGTGTTATGAACATTCATTCTGTTCTCTGCCTCTGATTTACAAATAGGGTGGATTGGATGCTCAGGAGAGTGATGAAAGGCTCCATATCCTTTTACCTCAAGGTCACTTGTTTGAATCTGGTCCAGACTGGCCATGACTGAAAGCCTTTGCATCTCTCAGCCTTCTGGTTTAGCCTATGTGAAATGAAAATATCCTAATAAATGGTTCTCTCTTTGGCATCTGCTGAGGGGTTATCAACTGAACAGGCTGTGGAGAGGAAACGTCCTCTCCTATCTGTATAGAGAGCTAGGACAGTGTGTAGGTAGATTTCCCTGCCACTGCCCATACTGTCCCTGTTTTGTGGGCAGAAGACTTCAGTCTGTAGCGCTGGCAGGCTGGCACCTTTGACTAGCTAATGTCTCTGTCCAAACCAAATGAAATGTAAAAAGTAAGCTGGATGTTAAAAATTCCTGTTACACATAGGAATTTATGGTAAACAACTTCCATAAATTACATATGGGAAACTGTTTGTTAGAGCCTGCTGGGGATTCCTCTCTGAATATCATCCTTCAGTGTGTAGCAGACACTCACTTGAGTTACAATTTGTTTCCCTCTTAATGTCCTTCTCCCATTCAGGGCTGACTTAATTGTGCACTTAAAATCTCACACATTTTAGAAAAGGCTTTACACCTTTCAATTATCTAGTTAAAATCTCGCATACCCTTTTTAAAAAGGTTGTGTGTCTTTCAAGGATGTTTGCAAATATAGTAATAAGCCATGACAGGCTTACTACAGGCATGATATTAAGCTACTAGTAGGCACAGATGCTTTGTGAGGTATAGTGCCAAAGGCTGAGAGCCTTCATCTCCCCAAGAAGTGTCCTGGAAGGCTTATTGCTGTCATATGATGGTTTACGTGTACATTCAGGTTTTTTTAAATATAGTGTGTGTTTTGGTTGGGCTTATGTCTGTGAGCTTTCACTATGGAAATTAGTTCCTACTAAAAGGATAAGAAAAAATAGTAGGAAAAAAGTTATATAAATACACCTCTACCCCGATATAACGCTGTCCTCGGGAGCCAAAAAATCTTACCGGGTTATAGGTGAAAGTGTGTTATCGAACTTGCTTTGATCTGCCAGAGTGCGGCACGCCCCCCCCCCCCAGCACTGCTTTACCACATTGTATCCAAATTCGTGTTATATCGGGTCACGTTATATCGGGGTAGAGGTGTACCTCTATCTCAAATATTTTCATTTTTTTAACCCTTGTTTGTCTCTAATTGGTCACTTACTTCCCTTTCCCCTCAAAAGCCCCACTATCCTTTTGGTAGCAGTTTATGACCTAACAGCTTTCAGTTCTTGGATATAAAGTGGCCTGTTGAACAGCTACCAATTTAACCTGTTTTCCAGTGAAAATGTTAGAACTGAAACAATCCCACCCCACCCCCACCCCAAACTGCTTCTGAAAGGGCAGTTTGACACACAGGGAGAGGAGACATTGTAAACTCATTTTTTCTCCTTTAGCACCCCATTTCCCTGCAGACAACTACCACCTTCTTCATCCATCCCCAGATGCCCTGTCTTCGTGCTTCCCTTAATTTTTCCCCAATTCCCATTTAACATAATAAGTATTGCAGTCTTTTTGTGTTTCAGTGAGATCTTGGCTGTATACTGTTGGAAGCTGGCCTACTTTGTGACATCAAAAAGCCCAACCAGCCAACCAGAATTCTGCTTGGGTGTTACAGGCAGACTTTGACAGTGATAACAGTGATTCAGATAAAGCTGGGGCAGATTGCTGGAGTCTCTTCTTCCTCATTGCCTTCTATTGAGTTCTCCAGTGGTTGAGGTGGTTTCAGGATGCTCACTGAAAGAATAAAAGGTCTGCCTCATTCAACACGTAAGGTGTCTTTAAGGGGCTCCCTGAAAGCCTGAGCTCCATCTCTGTGACTATTACTTGAGCCCATAGGGAGCATGAAAGTCACTTTGAGGTATTGCTTATGGAGGCAGGTCCCAAGCCTTCCACTGTCAGGTTGGTGTCTTCAGGCTCAGTTTATCCAGGTACCTTGGCACTGTCATCTGGTGAAACCACTACAGATATTGAAAATGCATCTCTGATCTGAGGTGTTTTCTGGGTCTGTTACTGAAATCCATATGAATTTTGTTTTGCAGCAATAACGAATCTTTTCCTTCCTCTCTGCAGTTACACAGATTTGCCTCACTAGTTGTCGTTTGTGGTTCTCCAATTTGAGATGATCTACCCTATTTCTAAGGGTTATTGCTGTCATACTTAGATTGTAAGCACTTTAGGGCAGGGACTGCACGGTCTTTTATTTGTATTGTGCCTATCCTACTGGGTGATGCTGTATTGTAAATATTTGTAGTGGAGTCCAACCTGAGAACTCTGGTGTGTAGTCCTGTAGCAAGAAAGGTCCTACTGTAATTATCTACATGAGTGGGTGTTGGCGGGCCACAAGCTTTTCATCCTTGCACATGTCTGATGCTTTGGGGGCATTCTCCATCAGGTTTCCTTAATTTTTATGGACCTTGGTCTTCCTCCATATCTCTGTTGCTCATTTCCAGCCTCTTTCTGAGGAAGAGGATATGGAGGAAGGTATGAACAGTCAAGATCAACCTAACAGTCTTTTGTTATTCCCCACATAAGAATGTAGGCCATTCAGTCTCATCACTTAACAATTTTTGGCATTTCCTGGGTTTGCTGGGGCTGATAGAGTCTTAGATTCTATGGATGGGATTTTCAAAATCACTTGAAGTTGGCCTTACTCTGCTCCCATTGAAGTCAGTGGTAAAATTCCCACTGTCTTCTAGAGTTAGGCCACTGCTGAGTGCTTTTTACAACCCACCTTGACTTGTCTACTGTCCAAGAAGGGAAGACTTTCTCTCTCTCTACAGATGTGGCCTACTAGGGACTAAAGACTAAAACCAGCATCCATTTAATCCATCTTGGGGATACAAGGTACCAACTCTCTCAACCGGGTTTTGACTACCTTTTAGCCTATCTGCAATCAGGGCCTCTAGTCTTGACAGTCCACAGAGACTGTAGTGGTAGGTGACATTCACTACATGGTCCCACTGCAGCAGTTAGGAAGCTTTTCTATGATCGTAGCTGGCTAACTGCTACAGAACTGCTTTAAAATCACTGATGGGTACATGACTGGAAATGTGGTGCACATGGCTTGAAATACTTGATGAGGATGTCAAAATGCACAGTGATGTTGCTGAATGCCTTCCTGGAGGCACGGAGAAAGATTGGTCGACCTGGAAATGTTTAAATCACCTCTGAACAAGAGTTGGCAAGTCAAAAGTCAATATGCAGAAGTGGGGCTGTTCCAACAACCCAGATACATGACTGCATCAAAACACAAATCGTGGGATATCTGTTGGTCTGCTGGCTCCTGAAGGAACCGTGCACCATGGAAGATCTCACCAAGGCTACAGACTGGGCCCAACACTGGAAAAATCTGATTGTGGTGGAAGGACAAGGTAAGAAGTCTCAGAGAGATAAGTCATCCTGCTTTTGGATGAAGGTGCCAAGAAATTCAGTCTGCCAAGGAGGAAACCACACTCACTGCAACTTGGAAATTCAGGTTTGCATCTTCAAATACTTCTGGTGATGCATGTCTTCTCCACATGGGATTAGGCCATTTCAGTTCTGGAACTGAGGATGTAAAATGATTATTGGGGTGACTCCTTGGGCGCTGCACATTCAGTAACAATGTCAGTAGCTATGAGGCATACATTGTTGCTCAGCTGGCAATTCAGATCTTGAGCTACAAGCCGAAATGGAGGATTTTGCCATTTGGAGGAACCATTCTCCTTTGCTCCCAGATGGATTAAACACTGAAGTTGACTACAGATCTATCTCAAAATCCTTGGTGTCATTATATAAAACGTCTGTTCTTCATAGATACCTCTGACAAGGTCCTCCTCAGCTTTTGTCTGCTCCTTATCACAGATTTCCTCAGAAGCAGTCCTGTTTCTCAAAGCAGAGGCAATCAGAGACCAAAAATTCATGCTCTTGTTAATGGCAGTCCATGTAACTCATCTTCATCATCATCATCTACAAAGTGGGTTTAGTGGGGGTGATTGTGAATTGTTTCTCTCCTTTTCCCCCTAAGAATGGGATTACTGTGGACAGACTATTAGTGTTAGAGGATTGTTAGAAAAGGTTACCCCATGCCACCTACCAACCCTCCCCTCTCTTCATGGACCCCTGTCATGGGACTTTATTGAGTGAAGTAGCCTTCTTTCTGCTCGAAGTGAGAGAGGAGGTTCTTTTAGAAATATCAGGGAGAGGGGTTTATTCACATTAGTTTTTCCTAAGAAAAGGCACCATTGCAAATTGTAGCTAACAAAATTGAACAAGTACATCAGACAGTGATGTTAGCTTTCATTATCCCTTCCCTAATTATACAAGATCGGTTTGAGGCATCCTTTTAGGTTGAGACCATTTTCTCTTTCTCGCTCTCCCCTCCTCCCCCCCCCAAATAAGAGATTAACAGTACAGAGTACTCTGTATGTAGTTCTCTATGGTTCCAGGGGCCTTGACCAGGTAAGTGTCTGGCAGAAGTGGTAGCCCATGTAAAACATAGAGGAATCCAAGTCTCTCCTTGCCTGGATTCTGAAAGCACAGCTCTACAAGAACCCAGTTGACTCTACAGACAGCGAGGGCACATTTCCTGTCTCTGGGCTGCAGGATAAGCCTAGAAAATTAGAAGGAGTCACAGGGATTGTTCTGGACTCTAGATCAGTATCTTTCTATTTGCCAGAGGACAGAATCCAGGATATGGGAGGTCAGTGGTCTCCAAAGCCTTTCCATGTAATATAATTGTTGTGGCTTCTTATACCTGTATGATACTATTTGCCAGGCTCTACACGAAAGTCCTGCAGAGTTGGTTAAGGATAGTATATCTGCCACAGTACAACATAGAGTCTGTCAGTGATCTCCCAGAAGATCCAGGAGACTGTTCACCACAGAAGAGACTATGTTCAGATATGCCTGTAAATGATACTGTCTGGTCATTTCAGAGGCAACTCCTTCAATAAATATTTCTGCCTGAAGAGAAAATGCCTTTATCTATACTTCAGAGGTAGCAGCGAATCAATTTCTTGACAGATGCTGTCCTCTTGGCTTGGAGTCAGGAGTTCCCATGTGTCTTCCCTCAATATCTCTGCTACCAAGAGCTCTCAGCAAAACTAAACAGCACAGAGTGTGAGTGAGATTAATAGCTCTGACTAGAACAGATCACTTCTTGTTCACACATCTCTGAGGCTTTGTGTTGGTAGCTGAACAGCTGATTCTTTCTCTCGTTATCTGAAATCCCTGACTTTTAGCAACCAGGATTGTAATGCATTGATGAAATCTGACTGACCAGAGGAAATTCAGCAAATCTTTCTGGAGAGTTGTAAACCTTCCATGAAAGAAGCCTATGCCTTAAAGGTGACTTGCAAAGGTTCATTAAGGGGCCTCTAGAATAACTGGGGAATGATTCTGTTACTGAAATCGGCTAAACGGCTACGTGTGTGCTGCATGAACATATGACACATTACTCATCTTAGCAGTTGGGACATATGCTCAGCTTGGTAAGCAGCTCTGCAATCTTTAACCAGTTCTCCTCAGACCCACCTCCTTAGTTGCTGTTAGTGCAAGTTAATCTTGCAAAAGTGGAGGTCTGTGCTGACAAACTCCAAGGAGAGGTCCCATACCAGTAACTGGTTCTCTGAGCAGATTCAGTTTAGATCCCCACTTCCCTTTCCCTCTTCTTTGAGTCTTGCTGCTAAACTTAAATTAAGTGGACAGCAGCTGTGGGGGAGTTAGGGAGCCACAGCTCCTTAAATAACCTCCCACCATGTGTTTAGAGCCCACAGTGCATTTCTTCAAGGCACTACTTTCTAGAGGCCATTGACTTGGCATTGAGGGGGATTTGTGTATCCCAAGTATTTGGGTTTGTACTAACAATCTGTTCAAAATGCAGTTATTGCTCAATAACCTTTTTGCCATTTTACAATTGGTGTTCAGTTGGAGTTTTTTTGAGTTGGGGTGCCAGGGGGGTTGCATTTGTCTCAAGTCAATTAAAACAATTAGTTTCACTTATTTCGTTTCATTTTCTAGCTTCAGGGGCTAGCCCAGTGCCGCACTGTTTAGGTTCTGAACACTTCAAGGGAATGTTTGCATCCAAAGAAATGGATTTCAATTAGATTTTTTTTTTTATCGTGGAAATGTTTTCATTCATCTTCAAAGCTTATAAAACTTGTTTGTACAACATAAAGTGTTTCTCGATTGGTCTTCATGGTGTGTCCTTGAGTCACGAAACCAACAGTTCCAACCATGAGGCAATCTGAGTAGAATATTTTCAGGTATTTTGAAAGTGGAATAAGTAAACATAGCTGCCTGACTTCTCCTGAAATCCAGACCAGAATAGCTGTTGGTGTGTTGGTAATGGAGTGTCCTCCAGTGCTGAGAGCCCAGGGGACTTCAGGGTTTCTGGATTCTGTTCCACCGACACATTGCAAGACCATGGGCAAAGCACTTTCTGCCTCCAGTTCCCCATCTGTAAAACAGGGATAATATTAGACCTTACAGCACTTCAGTGAGATTAACGGAGCTAAAGCATGTTATAAACTCTTAACAGGACTATACACGTATTAAAATGGCATTCGCTTTTTCCATTGTTCTTTCAGATTCCAGAGACTTGTTGAAAGAATTTCCACAGCCGAAAAACTTGCTCAACAGTGTGATTGGAAGAGCCCTGGGGATCTCTCATGCAAGAGACAAACTGGTGTATATCCACACTAACGGGCCAAGAAAAAAGGTAATTCCATTATTAACCTCTGGCTGTGGGAGGAGTGCTTGTACATGTAGGTGGCAAAGGGCCAGGAATACTCAGAGTTGTAAGTGATTTTTAATATACACGTCTGAAGCACTATTGCAATTCTAAATGGTTTATTGCACAGTAGTATGTGTTTCAAATATACTCCCCCTTCCGTCTGGTTCTTCATCTCAGCACATTTAGTATGCATGTAAAAACCCAATCTCCATCTCTAACCCACCCTGTTTGTGGAAGGATGATTATTTGACATAACTAGTTTGCTGTAGTTGGCTTCTTTAAGCAGGGAGGCAGCATGTGCATAGGGCAGTGTGCTAGGAGTCAGACCTGAGTTCTAATCTTAGTTTTGCCACTGACCTACTATGTGATTGCGGGCAAGTCACTTCACTTCTCTGGGCTTCAGCTGTCACATCTGTAAAACGAGGCTAAATGAAAAGCCCTTTGAGATCCTCTACTGAAAAGTACTAGCTGAAAATAAGTGCTGCTTAGTGATATTTATTAAACCTTTCTCTTGCCTGGCATTCAGAGAGGTCACCCAAGCACTAGGAGGAGAGGGGTTGGGGTCTGCACTGTCTCTCACTTCACTGCTCTTCTTTTCTTTTCAGAAAGTCACTCTGCACATAAAATGGCCTAAGAATGTGGAAGTGGAAGGCTATGGGACCAAAAAGATCGATGCTGAGAGGCAGGCTGCAGCTGCTGCATGCCAGCTCTTCAAGGTGAGCTACTGTTCCTCTCCTCCTCTTCTTCCTCGCCCCCCCCCCCCCCCATCCCTGCCAAGAGTCAGGAAGAGGCCTCTGAACTTGCTGGCCTACCTTAAGGGCTGTTTGACCTCTGGCTTATTTAAAGCTCTTTCCTCCTCCGTTTTCTCAGTTGTTTTGTCTTCTAGGCAGGAATGGAGGCAGCCCCACTGTTGGCTGGCAGTGGCTGGATGCAACTGAGCTTGCACGCCCACTTGCTCCCCTGGCCAAGCAAGTAGGCTGTCTGAATTCATTAACAGCCTTGAGTTCCTTCTCCATTATGGCCTTTGTTGTCCTCAATCTCCAACCAAAGCTCATCGCTCTTGGGAGAGATGGGTGCACCTAATGCTGTGCCTGTGTGTTCTTCACTGAGAAGCTCTCCCCTGCCTCGCTGTCGGACAATATAAAGTTCTATTGGGAGCTGTTTGGGAGGGAGCACGGTCTAGTGGCTAGAGAGCCACCCTGGAAGGCGGGGTTCTAGGTGCTAGTCCCAGCCCCGCAGTTGATTTTGCTGTGACCTCGAGCAAGTTGCGTCACCTCTCTGTTCCTTTGTTTCCTCGTCTGTAAAACGGGGACAATACTGATCTATGTGCTATTAAGCAACCTAAATACAGGGGTGGCTGCAGCTCCCCCCAGAATTTAAATCTAATTGCTTCCAAAAATTAAAAGAACAATATGGTTGCAAAGCCAGGCACTCAAAGGTTAGGAAATGACAGAATTAAGGTTTCCTATGCAACCCTTAATTTGACCCCTTTATGCATATGCATTATGATGCCGTCTTTAATTACATGATCACAGATTCTTTTTCCACAGGATCCCTGCCTCATTCAGTGCACAGGTTGGATGGTGCTCATTGAATGAGTAGCGATGGAATATTTTGTGTTATCATTCTGTTCAGTGTGCAGCCCTAGACCTTACTTACTGTGCAGTATGAGACGCATAGAAGCTATAAAAAGCTAAAGCTTCTCAATGAAATGGTTGTAAGAATTTTTTTTGTCATGGGGAGGGAGGAAGATCTATTTTACCTCAACTGTGTTCTCAGAAGCAGCTGAACCATTTTTGCTGCAATTTTTCAAAACAGTTCAGCCCAATGCGTGCATTTGGCACAGAAAATTTCAGCCTGAATGGTTAGTTTAGCAGAGCTTTACCCAACTGAAAACAAGGGTTTTATAATAGGAAGCATTGGGCAACTTTATCTAAAGGTGGTGATTCTGGTGCTATCCATAATAAATAAATAGTTTGCCATCCAAGTAAACAGATGGTACGATCCGCTTAGGGCCGAGGACTGTCTTTGTTATATGAGTATGTGATATGTGTGGCCCCAAATCAGGGATTTGGAGCTCAAGGCTCTACCACAGTACAAAATAATACTGTCCTGTCTAATAGGGGTGTTGTGAGGCTAAATGAATGAATGTTGCCAAAGCTCTTTGAAATGTCACAGTAAAGAAAAGCAAGATGTGTGTTGTCATGGGTGTCCCTGCACCTGTATGTGGGTACATAGGCAATTAGTAATCTTGCAATTAGTACATCTTGCACATCTAGTACATCTTGCAATTAATTAGTAATTACCCAAACAGCAGTTGGGAGCTCTTTGTAGTTCCAGGCACAGACAAGTTTTGAAGTCTTGTACGTTACAAAACTCAGAAACACCAGCATCTGTCACTCAAAGGTAAACGTCTTACTTTCGTGAAAGAGGAGGACGTGAACAATTAACATTGTCCCTAACAAGAGCCCCAGTGGTGCGTTTGGTGGGATGTCCCAAATATTTTTGTTCTTTGAAATAAATGTGAAGTTTTTACTATGTGACTCAATATTGTCTGCTCTGGGAGAGAAAAGAGGAGTCTAGAAAAGTTAGTGTAGCCTGTGTTGTGTTGCGGGGGGGATTCAGTGTTTTAAAACACCAAACAGATCATGTCTGCTGTATAACAAACCGTGCACTGGCCCAGCCTTTGTAAGCAACGGCATGATACAAAGCACTGTATGTGATGGAAAGAGAAGTCGGCATTTCCCTTTTAAGGAGTGACTATAAATAGGTACAGGAGGAATATTCTTTTTGAAAGTATGCAAGTCCCTTTTCAGCTTCCTTTCACTCTCCTGGACGCGAGGGATTCATCTCTGCATTTCTCCCTTCGGACCAAGCATGGTCCCGCTCTGCTTTAGAAGTTGCCCAGTCCTGCTAGCTCCCTACAGCTGTCTAACCGTGTGTGACTCTTTCATTCAGGGCTGGGGGTTGTTAGGTCCCAGGAACGAGCTGTTTGATGCTGCGAAGTACCGAATCCTTGCTGACCAGCTTGGCTGCCCGGAGGACAAGTGGTGCCCTGAAAGCAAATGGCGTTCCAAGTCTGGACCATCTCTGGCTGACTTGTCGACTTGTTGGAGACGGGTGGAACCAGATGACTCCATCCAGTCCATGGAGCAAGGCAGGATGCCTAAAGCGATGAGAAGAGAGGAGCTGGAGGAAGGGGAGCTAGAGGAGGGGGAATTGGAGGAAGGGGAGCTGGAAGAAGACACAATTGATGTTACTGATTACCTGTCTATGGCACAGAACGAAGCTCGGACCCCAGCTAGAGACATGAGGTAAAATCATGTTCCGACAAGCTCACTAAAGCAGGGGAATAGTGAGAAAATGGTCCGTGCACTGGCTGATATATCCCCATAGACCTCAAAGTTGACCTCTCGCTGCCCACAACATAGTGAGCACAGAGAGGACTTCAGCAGAGTCTGAACATAAAGCTTGTGTGCCAGGCTCCATGAGGATGCCACGCATGCTGTGCCACTCCATGGTGGGTCTGCCTGCTTTCATACCTAGGTCAGCACTAGAGGGCGTGGGGGTCTTTTCTGGACTCCTGCTCTTCTGACAGGCAGTTGCCCCAGCTTTACTCACGATCAGCCTCATAGATCTGGTGGGGAGCAGTTCTCCTGGCCCGCAGAGTTTGTCATCTCCAAAAGCCACACTTAAATTTGGCAGTCTTTTTAAACCTTGCCAGTGTCCTCCAGGAGAAGGACAAGTCAGGACCTGTATTTCCCTTTTTTTAAAGGGAAACAATTTGGGACAAGAGGGGAAATGCTTCGAAATTGACTTTGTCTCCTAAAGAAGTAGTAAAAGCCATTCCTGTATTCCAGTTTGCATTGCAATTGTAAATATTTGGGACGACAGTTACTTTCAGTAGAAGCTAGAATTCTGACTTGGCGGTTCCATTGGCTAAAGCGATTGTCTTCATTCTGAGTTCTGTAACGCAATGTAATGGTACTCTCTACCCAGTTGGCTGCAAACCCTCCATTGCTAATTAACTCCGTAATCTCCTGTACTCACATTGTATTCTTTAATTACTCGATTTTAGGCTATGGCAAAGGAGCTGGAGGGGGAAGGGTCTGAGCACAAATAGAATTGGGGAGAAGAGAGATTTGTTTGGTTTTTTACGTACCTGAACTGTTTTACTTTCCGTCTTGCAGGGGAGGGACCTCTGTTGAAATGACAGATGACAACAATGCCATCAGGGCTCTGACCCAGTTCCCTCTACCCAAAAACCTTCTGGCCCAAGTGATTCAGATTGCAACCTCTTCCTCCACAGTCAAGGTGAGTTGCTGTTCAAATGGCCTCTCCCATCTCCTCTGGTTGGGAATTTGCCTTTCAGCGGCTGGGAAGGATGGGCTGCAGCGATTGAAAGGGTGTAGATTTCAGGGAAGGAGAAGAATTCTTTGGGGTTCTCCAAGGGCTGGCTAGATAGTGATGGGCTGAAATTAGGCTGAAGAACAGGAAAACCTTATTGACAGTGAGACTTGGGGAAGAGTCCCTCAGGAGAAGCAGTGGGAGTGTTGTTACTCAAACAAGAAGCTGTTGTTATATGTGGGTTTGTGTTTTTGCTGGGGTGAATTGTGCTGCAAGCCCCCTTGATTTGTGCAGCCAGCCAGAGCATATCCTGTATTCTGAGAATTTTGTAATGTTCATTGGTGGTCAAATTTGTCCAGAACTCCACTCCTGCCTACATCTCTGCTTTCCTTCTCCTTCCTCTAGCGCTTCACCCACCTCCTTTTCAGACTTTGTTGTGCCCTGCACACGCTGAAAAAAAGTTTGACAAGCTTTGCCCCTTGTATCTTTCACCTTCTAACTCCCTCCTTCCATGAAGTGCTCCACACAGCAGCCTGTTTATGTCTTGTCTTGGTACTGACCAAGCCTTTAGTATGTGAGCTCTCAGGGGAAGGGGTTTAGCACAGGTCACCTCTGACTACGTGGATGCTGCTATATAAACTACTGGCTTAGTGTATGGGGGAAAGCAATGCGTGTGAAATATCTTGGTTTTTAGTAAGGTCTCACATGACATTCTCATAAGCAATCTAAGGAAATGTGGTCTATATGAAATTACTGTAAGGTGGGTGAATAACTGATTGAATGACTGTACTCAGTGGTTTGCTATCTAACTCAGAGGACATATCTGCTGGGGACCCACATGGTTCTGTCCTGGGTCCAGTACCACTCAATATTTTAATTAATGACTTGGATAATGGAGTAGAGAATGTGCTTATAAAATTTGCAGATGACATGAAGCTGGGAGGGGTTGCAAGCACTTTGGAGGACAGGATTAGAATTCAAAATGACTTTTTGACAAATTGGAGAATTGGTCTGAAATCAATAAAATGAAGTTCAATAAAGACAAGTGCAAAGTACATACGCAGTATAGTTGTAGCTGAGTTGGTCCCAGGATATTAGGAAGCTTGTCTCTCTCACCAACAGAAGTTGGTCCAGTGAAAGATATTACCTCACCCACCGTGTCTCTCTAAGGGCTGGTCCACACTAAGCCCCCAGTTCGAACTAAGATACGCAACTTCAGCTACGTGAATAACGTAGCTGAAGTCGAAGTATCTTAGTTCGAACTTAAAGCTACTTACCGCGGGTCCACATGCGGCAGGCAAGCTCCCCCATCGACTCCGCCTACTCCTCTTGCGGAGCAGGATTACCGGTGTCGATGGCGAGCTCTTCCGGGATCGATTTATCACGTCTAGACAAGACACGATAAATCGATCCCAGAAGATCGATTGCTTGCTGCCGAACCAGCGGGTAAGTATAGATGTACCCTTAGTGCAAAGTACTTCATTTAGGAAGGAAAAATCAGATGCAAAAAAAATACAAACTGGGGAATAACTGTCTTGGTGATAGTACTGCTGAAAAGGATCTGTGGATTATAGTGGATCACAAACTGAATATGAGCCATCAATGTGATGTAGTTGTGAAAAAGGCTGATCTAATTCTGGGTGTATTAAAGGTGTGTCATATGTAAAACATGGGAAGTAATTTGCCCACTCTGCTCGGTACTGGTGAGGCCTCAGCTGGAGCACTGTGCCCAGTTCTGGGTGCCGCACTTCAGGAATGACGTAGAAAACCTGACCCACAAGGAAAGGTTAAAAAACTGGCGTGTTTAGTCTTGAGAACAGATGACTGAGGGAGGACCGGATAAGTTTTCAAACATGTTAAGGGCTGATATAAAGAGGATGGTGATCAACTGTTCTCCATGTCCACTGAAGGTAGGACGAGAAGTAATGGGCTTAATCTGCAGCAAGGAAGGTTTAGGTTGGATATTTAGGAAAAAATTCTCACTATAAGGATAGTTACGCTCTGGAACAGGCTTTCAAGGCAGGTTGTGGACTCCCCGTCACTGGAGGTTTTTAAGAACAGGTTGGACAAACGCCTGTCAAGGATGCTCTAGGTTTACTTGTTTCCTGTGCTGAGGCAGGACCTGGGCTAGACGATCTTTTGAGGTCCCTTCAAGCCCTACTTTTCTGTGATTCTATTCCAGAAGGTACTGAGTTAAAATCTTACATGTAAAACTGCCCTGCTGTTTAGGTAATATAGCCTAGTAAACTTTTCAGAGGCTCCCTCTGAATAAACCAGCCTTTTTCCCTCACAAGCTGCCTGTCTCTCTTTCAGGAATTCATGCAGTTCCGTACCGTGGGCACCAAGACTAAGATCTGCAAGCTCACTCTGCGCTGGCCCTGCCCGATGACCTTCGCTGCCAAGGGCCGCCGCAAGGTTGAGGCCGAGAACAAAGCAGCAGCACTGGCCTGCCAGAAGTTGAAGGTGAGTGGCATGTGTCTGGTAGCAAATCTTGATGTGGCTCCTACCACAGCATCTCTTCCATGCGGGCACTATCCGGCCTGCTGTGAACGGACACTGTTCGTACCAGAACTGCCCTATTCGGGGGGCCAGGCTGAGCCTCTGAGACCTAAGGCTGCTGCAGTTTCTGTGACTCAGTCTGCGTTCCCTGCTGCCACCTAGCGTTGACTCCATGGGTAAGCCTGGGGTCAGAGTTGTCCTGGTCTCTAGGCTGATGCCTTAGGACTCTGTGCAGGGGCACAGCAATGGAGTTGAGAAACAGACCGTGAACCTCCGTGATGCTGATGGGGGGAGGGGGGGATGGCCCATTGGCAAAGTGATGTGAAAAGATCAACCTGCGAGTGGTGGGTCTGTCTTTTCAGCCACCTCGCTGCCTCCAGACAGGGTAGGCTGGCTCCCTGCTCCTTCAGGCGGGTCAGTCTGACCACTCTGTTCTCCTAGCTTCATGGGGAATTACCTGGCTCCAAAATCAATGGGGAGCGGGCAGGCAGGAAAGACTATTCCTGGTCGGCTACCTGCTGAAGTTTGTGGAAATGCCAGTAAGAGGCTCTTGTAAGTGGGCCCTACTGGAAATTACGGCCTATGCCATTCCTCTGATGTGAATCTTCCTTGGCGAATTTCCCCATTGGCATTGGTGGCAGGGACAGCGCTGGGCTCCAGTGTGTGTATTTCACAGCAGGGAAGATCCTGTAGGGTTCCCCCGGGTCTCAGCCTCCTGCCCTGGTGAAGGCAGGAATTGTTGGGGTTGGGACCTTCCTGGGCAGGGAGACTGGACCTTCCTTGCACACCACCTTCCTTTGGGGAAGGGGCTCTCAGTGGCTGGGCAGGGAGAAGCTAAGCTAGATGAAGAGAATGGCTCTTGCAGTCAAAGCTAGTCTGGCTCTGAAAATGCTGACTTAATTCTCATCTGTGCTGTGTTCCCTTCCCATCCCCTAGACACTGTTTCATGTTTACTGTCCCCGTTTGTCTCCCTCCTTTCCAGAGCCTTGGCTTAGTAGACAAGAACAACAACCCACTGAGCCATGCCATGTACAACATGACGTCCCTCAGGGAGCTGGGCGAGAATCAGAGGAGACCCTGCCACATCAAAGTCCCTGAGGCCACCCTGCGTAAGATCGAGAACTACCTGAACCACGTAAGACTTATTCACGTGTCGTAGGGCCACCTCGGGGCAAAGGGGGCAGCTAGGTTCCCTGTCCCTGAACCAGCCGAGCCACAGGTATCCTACGATAGCGTATGAACTCAGTGAGCTGGTGTTGTCAGCTGTGTACTGAGAGCGCTGCTTTGGTGATCCCCCAAACTGGGGATCTTGGGTGTGGAACTGGCTTATTCACAAATCATTCAGGGTAATGACTGCTGTCTTTGTTAAGCTCGCCTGTGCTAACTATACAGTGATCTCTGCTTCATTTACTTGGCTTACGATAAGCAGCTGCGAGTATTTGTGGATGGCCCATGGGGATTTTTCTCTCATGGCACTGAATGCATTAAATGTTGGGTGCAACTTTTGTAAGGGTCCTAGAGCAGTAGGTGCTGGTTACACAAGGCACTTTACCAAGAAGTCTCGATTCTCAACCCAGAACCAGGCTGGGATGCTGAAATCAGTGGGAGTTGTGCCCACTTCCACTAGGACAGAGGCTGGTCTCGGGTGGTTGTCCAGTATCCAGTAGATGGTGGTACTCTGCAGTCAGTACAGCATCAGTGTCCTGGCCTGTTTCTGGGAAGCGCTGTGCTGCTGGAAGTGCCATTCTTTGGGTAAGACCAACTCCTGAGATCCTGACTTGTGGGCTCTAAAACGCTTGTAGTCCTTTAAACCTGAATAGGCATGTTCTGGCCGAGTCCTGACCTGAGGAACTGCGTTCTGCTCCCTAAAACCCCCTTGTGCTTTCCATGGGATCTGAGATTCATTTCTTGCCACAAGCTGTCGTGTTGCTGTGTATAACTGAACAGCAGCTGGCCTGACTGCCTGAGGGGATAGGGTTATTTCACAGCACCTAAAGCACTGCTCATGTAAGGCCTGGCCCCTGCCCTGGGGCACTTACCCTATTTGTAGCATTGGATTGCATGGGGGTGGAAGGCAGGCAGGCTGGGTGACCACTACATGATGCTGCAGTTTCTCTGTTCTGTCTTGGGCACTGCATGGAGGGTCAGTTATCAGGGCTCTGAAATCTTTGTTGAACGGATTGAGTGCTCCACACGAGGTTTGGAATGAGGCAAGCGTAGAGGGCTAGCTGAGGGCTGGTGTGCCAAGCAAAGGGGATGCTTTGAGGTTATGTTCTGATCTGAGTCTTTACAAAATGAGAATTTAGAAGTTGAATTACCCAAAGGACAGGTTGGGACCTGCTCCTGGCCATGCAGTCGGTGCCAAAGCCAGCATCCTGCCTGCTGGTCCCCAGCTCTGACCCCGCAACATGCCCTCCTGGCGTTCTGTGTTCTAAGGAGCTGCTTCAAAGTTAAGCATCTGTCTGTGCCAATTTTCTCCTCCTCCCTCAGTACCCGGTGGCCTCAAGGGAATCCAGGCCTCGGATTGCTGACGACATGATGAACCTGAGTAAGGAGTCTGGTGCGATCAGTGATGCCATCACAGGGAAGACCTACACGCCCATGTCGGAGGGGGAGGAGGTGCGCCTGAGCCAGAACCTCCTGGCCCTTTGGAAGAGGAGGGGTTCATTGTGGCTGGAAAGCCACCAGCTGCCTGTCGATCCTCACAAGGACACCATCTTGTCGGCCATTGAGCAGAATCCTGTGGTGGTCATAGCAGGAGACACCGGCTGTGGGAAAACCACCCGGATCCCTCAGCTGCTGCTGGAGCGTTACATCCTGGAGGGGCGCGGCGCCCGCTGCAACGTGGTGATCACCCAGCCGAGGAGGATCAGCGCCATCTCGGTCGCCCAGCGGGTTGCGCAGGAGCTGGGTCCCAACATGAGGAAGAACGTGGGTTACCAGGTGCGGCTGGAGAGCAAACCGCCAGCCCGGGGAGGAGCCCTGCTCTTCTGCACGGTGGGCATCCTCCTGCGAAAGCTGCAAGGGAACCCCAGCCTGGAGGGGGTCAGCCACGTGATTGTGGACGAGGTCCACGAGCGGGACGTCAACACCGACTTCCTGCTTATCCTGCTGAAGGGCATCCAGAAGCTCAACCCCGACCTGCGCCTGGTCCTGATGAGCGCCACAGGGGACAACCAGCGCTTCTCGCAGTACTTTGGGGACTGCCCCGTGGTCAAGGTGCCGGGTTTCATGTACCCAGTGAAGGAATATTACCTGGAAGAGATCCTGGCCAAGCTGGGCCGGCACAGACACCGGCACTACGAGGTGAAGGTGAGCGTGCTGCGCACTCTGATTTGTTTCCCTGTCTATGGCACTAACCCCGGGGATGGCTAGCGGTGAAAAGAGATTTGGGCTGGGGCTAGTTCCTTCCTGCTGCACTTCTTCTGCGCTAGCCCAGTGCTGCTGGGTTTGCGTTGCCAGCTGTTGGCAAAGTTTTAATTCCAGCCCAGACCCCCTGAGGTTCCCATTAGGTTTGGTTAGATCCCATTTATGACCTTCGTCTAAAGTCTGAATCAGATCTCAGACTTGGCTCTAAACTCCTTGGCAATGGCTCCGTTGTAATGAAATGTTAACTCCCTATGGGTTTGCCTGCACTTGAATGCTTTGAGATAGTTCTGTCCTTGGATACATGCTGCAGCTTGGGCATATTTTCCTGAACTCCGTCCCCCTGGAACATGTCCCTGTGTATAGATTCTTCATAATATTTGTTGGCTTCTGGGGTGTGTCCAATCTCTCTTCTCTCCCCTCCTTCCCCCCCACACACA